TAATTCAGCTGGAGATGGCTAATGCTAGGTTATAGACAGTGTTACAAGGGAATATTTAAAGTGGAGCAGGTGGATTGAGGCAGGCTGCTATTGGCAAAGCCATAAGCGGCTTGCAGACAGATTAAAGGCATCTCAGGGAGGATGAGCTCTAGGTTGTTTTTCAAGCGTTCTGTAATGAGTGTGAGTTGAAACTAGAATGAGATATTTCTGACACGTAATAGTGATTGACATTTAGATAAGAATAAAGTCAAATTTGCTGGTAGTTTAAACCTTCCTGTGCAAATTTTAGCCTATTCACTAGCAGTGCAAAGCAGTTATTTAACCAACATGCTCTAATTTAAACATCTAGAACCACACATTCATGAAGAAGGTATTTGTCAACAAGCTGTGTTGACAAGAAGGGGCTGTTTAGAAAAATGGCAAATTAGAATTTTGAATCTTTCCACTTGTATATCAAGATAAATTTATCAGGACTTTAAAAGTTAACTTAAAAGTCAACACTGAGAAAAACAGAAAAATGAGGTCTTTGTGTATTTTGTTTTGTTTTTTGAGACAGGGTTTCCTGTAACTCAATATGCAGACCAGGCTGCCCTCAAACTCACAGGGTTCTGCCTGTCTCTGCCTCCCCAGTACTAGCGTTCAGGGCATGTGCCACCACTCCAGGTGAAGAGAATTAATCTTAATTTTTTCTTGTGATATGAAAATTTTTTTAAATAATATTTAAAGAAATCACAAGGTAAAAAGTATATGTTGATAAGGCTTTGTAAAAAGTAATGCTTACAATACGCTTTTGATGTCTTTGAGACAATCGTTTTCCTTGGCCTATAAATCTGCTCTCACGAATCTATTATAAGGAAATAATCCAAGCTGTGGCAAAGTTTCAGGGAGAAAAGGGGAGACAGGGAGACAGATGGATGAAGGCACACTGAACATCCAGTAATAGGAGATTAGCCAAATGAATAAAAATTCGTGAAGGAATACAGTTCACTATTGAAACTGGCATTTGATCATTGCTTAATGATTAACAAAAATTTTCATAGGACTGATAATTAAAGAAAACAAGACAATGCATATGAATTTAGTCCTAATTTTTAAATAAGCGTATACACATATATGCACACATCCACAAGTATGCATATGCACACATACGTATACACATGCATACATGCAGGCATACATTCACATATGCACAAATACATGTAAGCATACATACACGCACATGTACATACACACACACATACACTGTATGCACAAACATACACTGAATCTTGGTCCAGAATTTCTTGACCTTGGCTACACATTGTAGTCACCTGGTAAGTTTTAAAATAGGTTGCTTCCTGGGATCCATTCTCAAAGATTCTGATTGAATTGGTCTGGGCATCACCTGGGTACAGGAACTTTGTAAAAGCTTCCCTGGAGATTTTCATTTGTTTCCTCGGGTTTGAAAGTGTTAAGTATAACATCTTTAAAACACTCCTTCTAACAGTACATTAAGAGAAAGCATGACTATCCACCCAGATTTTTAAAGCAAAACAAGTTCATCTGGTAGCCACTGGCAAGTTTCATAGCATAGTGCTCAAGGAGAAGCTCACTTGCTCATATCTTTAAGAGAAATTGTGCAAAATTTGGAACCAAGGGCAAATAACACCAGCATGCATGTGTGTCTTCATTTGAAATAACAATGCATCACATATGGACTCGCGTCCTAATTATCTAATTCTCTTTCTTTAACTTCCTAAAGTTAAAGAACAACTATTATTCAGGTTCCACTCTCTGTGAAATTAGCGTCTGTTAATACGGAGTTCTTTCGTGATAAAAGCATATGCCATTTCTGTCCAGCAACTAAAAGATAAGCACAGAGGTCGCGCTCCCTTCTATTAGTCAGTTCTATCTCTAAGTTAGCAACCCTGTGCCAGTATTACACGCAAATTATCCTTAAACTGATTTTGCCATCTTGTTGGCTTCCCTCATCACTGGGTTAAATAAAGATATATTCTTTCTATATTTTTATGAGTCATGTTGAATATTTTGAACTTGTACCTTAAAACTATCCAGGTTCAAACATGGATTTGGAGAAAGAAGTGAAAAAAAAAAAAAAAAAAAACACTCTTTAACTAGAGTTTTTTCAATAAAATCATCCTACAATTTGCCTCAGAAAGTTTCTTCTCTTTGAAGGATATGCTCTCTGTGTCACTTGCTGAGATGTCCTAGCCTTTGCCCACAAGGTCTAATTTAAAGTGCTATTTAGTCCCTCTCCATGTTAATGACAGCAAATGACAAACTGAGTAGCTGGAGAAATCAGATTTGCACACGGAAGCAACTGTAGTCCCACTAGTGACATCTTAGGAGAATGGAACTTGGGGTAAATCTAATTTGATAAGTCTGTCTTCTGTCTCCATTGATGCACACAATCACTTCAGAGCCACTCCATCATCATTTGGAGCCCCTCTGCCATCAGCTGGGACTCCGGACTCTGGCCGGGATTCTTTTTATGTTCCCACTCTCTGTGTCAAGCACTTAATGATCTGAAAAATGACAGCGTGTAAGCTAAGAGGTTAGCTTTTTAAAGGATCTCTGGGGTGAATTCATTTCCAGAGCCAATAACTTTCCACTGAGTCTCTTAACTATGAACCAGTAGGGTGATGTGCAGGGTGTTTGTATGAAGAAAGGTTGTTTATAAGTATTAATTTCAAGGAGAGATATAGCAGAAATATTTTCCTAAGGCAAAAAAAAAACCTTTAAAAAATTTTTCATGAAGGGTAAAAGTTATAAATTCCAGGCCAAATACCCATGGTTATTTGAACTGAGATTATTGGATTAGTTTGAGAAATTATAATTAGATTGGTGTTTTTTATTCCCTCATATCTATGGAAGCTGAATTTGCTGGTAAAGCAGAATTTTCTAGCCCCTTAAATAATGAGAGGGTAGAAAGAATTAAATCCATCTCTTAAAAATTCCTACACCTCCCAACAGTGCCAAGGTAAGAGCCAAGGCATTAACACATTGTCCTTTGGGAACACTTAAGAGCCAAACTATAGCACCAGCTTCCTGCCTTTTAACTACCCAATAAGCTCTTTGTATAAAGGGTTCACAAAGAAGATACAACAATATTTCAGGAGCAAGATCCCGGTGGCACTGAGACTGGATATGAGGAATGGCTCTCAAAGTGTGTTCCCTGAACTAGCCACAGCACACTGCTTGAGAATCCTAGAAATGAAAATCATCAAACCCGGCCTGTAAATCACTTACTGCGTTAGCCATCTGAGTTCTATCATGCCCTGCAGATGAGAACCAGTGTGCCAGAGAAATCCCTGACCACAACAGAGCAGTGGAGAGAATTTAAGCCTTAGATGAATGGATTAGCTCTGGACTCACTACCAGTACACATACGCATGTGCACACACAGATCACACACACACACATGCACATGTATTTACACACATACACAACGCCCTGCTTATACTGTATACCATGTTAGTAACTAAAGCATTTATAACTAATTCGCATTTTTATACTTATTTCACCAATAAAAAAATCACTCCTAACATCTATCATGCTGGTTGGCAAACCTTTCAGGAGATCATAAAGGGAGCGGAAGCACCTACAGCAGTTGTCTCAGGAATTTGGGCTCCTGAGGAGAACCTGCAACCTCCCCATCCTGGAAGTGTTCCTTCCTGATCAGGATACCTTCAGTGTTTGCCAGCCACCTCTAGAGAACAGATTGCTACTAAATATACGCTGAACAATTTTAAGTTAAACTACAAATAGTTAAATGGTTTACATGGAACGAGTCTCACACCTACTCCTTGGTGTCAATATTGATCAAGTTCTCCCTTAATATCAGTCATTCTTAGTGTTATGTATTGCCAAAGCCCACGACCACTCTGTTCTCTTCCCAGCTTTCAGGCAGCCACAAGCTAATGAGCATGAACATTTGATTAAAGTCATCTGTTTTGTGGGCTCCCTGCTCCCAGGGTAAAGGTGCTTTCTCACACACATCAGCACTGCTCCGAGTGTTCCACTTATGTTCCCTGGGACACACAATCCTAGGTTTTGCTCCAACTAAGGAGTCATGTTTTACCAAGCTTCCCTTATATATATGCAGCTTCTATATGGGTTGAATATGTGGGCATGTGGATGAAAATGCAGGGTGCCTGTCCCTGCCCCATATCTATAGCAAGGAGTTCCCAAATACCACACACACACACACACACACACACACACACACCCTGATGGTGTGCCAACGGAATTCAGGTGATAGACGATTTTTTAAATAGTATGTCTGTTTTAATGTATATTTGGAAGACATGATGAGCCCATGAAACTTCTGAGTTTGTAGATAGCATTACTTAGAACAGGGGGCTAAATTAGAACATGAGTCTACTAAAATCAAATTTTCAGAGATTAAGTAAATTAATAATATTGTCTGCATTTCTGTCTAAATGGTGCTGTATTAGGCGTCTGAGTTCTATTCAGACTCTGGGAACCATAGCCATAGGCATCTTCATCATAAGTACCTTTTCTAAGAAAATGACGACACATTAATCAGTTTCATTTACCTGCCACGCTGCTGATCTTGTCTCCAGAAAGAATTCAGGAGAGAAAGCATCTGCATTAATACCAGTACCTACCTGAAAAGATGTAAGACAGAGAAAATTGGAGTTCTAGTTTTTCTAGTGGAAAGCTAACATGTGAAAACAGTAGTTGCCTCACAGTAGCTGTAAGAAAGGCACAGGTCACATCAGTCTGTCACATTCTTCAGACACATTCTGAAAACATCATTGTTGAGAGCAGTTTCAACCACATTATCCTACTTCTTTGAGCTTCCGTTCCTCTTCTGGGGCGTGGCACTCCCATAATCTTTATGTGTTGACCATTCTGTGCTATTCTGGATGGAGACTCTTCAAATCCAAGTAAGTCCAGCCCAGATTTATCATACTCCTTAGCATGACTATTAAAAAAAAAAAAAAAGTGTTCTTTTTTTTCCCTTTTTTCCCCAGATACAATGATTCCTTTAAGTACCTGGTCATCCATACTGAGTGAAATATAGCTCATAAATCGAGGCTATCTTAAGGTGAGTTCCTCAGAAGCACTCATTTAGACAAAGATTTATGTTCAAGTGATTTACTAAGGAAGTGTTCCTCCCAGCATCTAGAATGCAAGTTGGAGAAGGGCAGAAATGATGGGCAGAAGTCAAAGGGCCCAGTGCGGCTGGGACCGTTGCGGTGAGCTGCAATGCGAATTAATAGCACCTCACAGTTTAATCACTGGGCTTTAGTATTACATACCCTTCCCACATTGTGGGCCTGCTCTGGCGGCAACATAAACTCTCAGGCACCTGCAGTTCTCTGTGAATGAGATGAAGCAGACTTAGGGTAGTCTTACAACAAGGGTCACAGGTGCAGGAATGAGGGGACACCCACAAAGTCCTTGTAACAACAAATTCCATAGTTGAAGGCAAAAGCTGATCATGAGCCTGAATACACCGAGCTGTTGACTTGGTCACACGGCACCTGAAATACTTTGGTTTGCAAGACGATGGGGAGTTCTGTCTGTTCAGTGTCAGATGGTGTGCGTGCACTCTTGAGTAGAATCATTTTGTCTAAGATATAAGATCTGGATTTTTGTTGCTGTGGCTGAGTTCTAGCCCTTGTACCAAGAACCAAGCCAGTATCTCAGAAAATGAGCATTTTTCTTTGCTTTCCACAGGCAAGGCAGAGGATAAACCTGAACCAAAATGCTTTTTGCTAGAGTTTCCAGAACCATTCTTGGGGGCAGTGGTTCTACTAGCTGCATGCTGGATGTGGCCGCACATGCGTAGCAATCAACAAACAAATGTGGGCTCAGTGAATGAACCCTGGCTTGCTTTGACAATGGTCAGAGTGAGTGAGGCAGGGTTCCATTCTGTCCCTCTCCTGGTCAACAAGTCCACCATGCTTTGGCTCCCATGTAAACAACCAGGAATCATTGCAGAATACAAGCCACAACACTAAATACCCACTAAGCCACATTTGCCAAACATACAAAAGAAACATTGGCATTTTTGAAAAAGAGAGATTTAGGCATAATCACTATTGGTGTGGCTGGCTGCCCTGTTGTCATTAAGAAATGCCAATGTTGGCTGCATTTAAATGTAAGGCCACCCATACCCAGCACATTTAAAGAAGAAACTGAAGTCAAAGCTTCCCATCAGCTATGCTGAGGTTAATCCTGGAAAGGGCTCATGGGAGAGGCAGACTTCCCTTCTCAGAAAAAAATATCCAAACTGTGTTTAGATCAAATACACAAATAAAATCCAATTCAGGAATGAAGTGGGGTGGAATGGTCTGGAAAATTAATGGGCCAACCTTAACAGGAAGTGGGTTTCGGTGCCTCTGGAGAAGGGACACTGTCCTGAGCTATTTGAAGTATCCTTGAGATGGTTCATATCAATATGGTCCACTAAATGCTGGGGACTCTCACAGTTTCTAGATAATTTTACCACAGGGTTACTAGACTGTCCCATGGGATAATTGCAGAGCTGTTCAGCTCTAGGACATGGTACACACAGATGCTGCCCTTGTTGGGTGGAATGAGAAGGAACTATTATCATTGAGAATGCCAGTTCTAACTCTACCTCCACAGATCTTGCACTGGGTGATATTACTGAAAATCTGCAAGTTAACAAGCTACTGAAAAGGTTTTGAGGCAAGGAGACCCCAGACCATGCTACTAAAAGCCCTGCTGTGAGTGGTTGTGACCTATCCATTAGCCAGTTTATGCACATAAAATGGATTCTCAGTTGTTAATTCATTCAAAGCCATGTATTCATCACATCTGAAATACAATCTTTGATTTAACTAAGAAATTTATTACAACCAGCAGGCCCACTAATAAAGAGAAGGATGTTTCATTTCGTGCACAATAATTTTTAAAACATTAACAAAGATACAAATCAAGCCCACACATTAAAACAAAACCCTTACAATCCTGGGTATAGCAGATTTAAGAAATTGCCATTTTAAAGAGTAGGAATGTAAACAGAAACTTGCTATATACTTTGTCAAAAGTGCTTTTTTTGCTATGATCTTTGCTTTATGTTAAGGCATAAACCTCTGCTACCATTTTCACATGAATAAAATGTATCAGAATCATCCATAGTCTCAACATTAAAAATCTAGTGTTTTGCCCAGTATCTTAAACAACAAAGCTTAGCTTTCATAGACTGCAATTTGTGGAGATAGAAAGCTCCAAATATATTTCTTGATTAATCTTCCTCTAGCTTTTCTTAGAAAGTTTTTCTTGTAGAAATTAGTCAGTTTGCCCCCTGTCGAGGAGCGGGGCACACTTGGGGACTCTAGGAGAAGCCATTGACCATGGACTTTCTTTCCATTAACTTAGAAGCAGATGACACTGGAAGTCTGAAGAATATAAAAATTAGAGAGATCAAAATAAGGATGACCTGACTTGGGCATCATACATTGTATACCTGTGCAGTTATCATGCTGTACCCATATGTACAATTATTACACTGCAGTTAAAAATTAAAGTGAAATTAACTTAAATAAAGGTGTGGGAGCTAGAGAGATGTATCAATGGGTACAGTGTTTGCTGCACAAGCATGAGGACCTGAGTTTAGATCCTCAGCACCTACTTAAAAGCACAGCACGGTGGCATACATCTATAACCCCAGAACTGGGGTATTAGGTGAAGACAGGCAGATCCCAGGACTTGGTAGTCAGCCAGTACTAGCCAGAACAAGAAGCTGCATGTTCAATGTAGTGGGTAAGTATGTGCACATGAGTACAGGTGCCCTGCCTGAAGAGGCCAGAAGTGGTGGTACATAGCCGGGCGTGGTAGCGCACGCCTTTAATCCCAGTACTCGGGAGGCAAAGGCAGGCGGATCTCTGTGAGTTCAAGACTAGCCTGGTCTACATAGTGAGTTCCAGGACAGCTGGAGCTGCAGGGAGACCCTGTCTCAAAAAGCAAAAAGAAA